CTATCCCATCCATTGCTCAGCCACTGGCCCAAGCACCGGGCATATGCAGGACTTGGTGGCCTGTACACCAGGTCACAGGACAATTCAGGTCAGGAAGGATGGCCTCGTGGCCAAGCTGCTACCCTGAGAAGCAGAAGTGGGCTCTGTAACAATCGTGTCCCATCACAGTCATTGATGGCTGTGGGATCTTAGTGTGGTGCTTTCTCTCCCTGTCTCGAGAAAGCACTAGATGATATTCAGCCACTAACAAGTTTGCCAGTGGTATTGACCTTAGTGAAATGTAAACCTGTATGTCAGCTTCACCTTATGTAACATTAAAGGAAAAATAGCATTTGCTCTTACAACACAAATGGAAAATAAAATGCAAACAAAACAAGGTGCATTTTTACGTTTCCGTCTTATATTACCCACCTTCAAAGTCAGAAAGTTATGAAGTTTGCTGACAAGCATAAATCAATAAATAAACAAATGAAGAAAATATCAACAAGCTTGATTTCAAAGGTCATGGGAAGAGGATGAGTGCCATGCTTTCAAGCCTTCTCCTTCTCCCTTTCAGTCCTCAAATGTTAAAAAAACTGTGCCCTGCCCTAGGTTGAGGAGGGAACCCTTGCAGGAAGCAGCTGAATTCAGAGCTTCTTTAAACCAATGAACTAGACTCAACTCTGCACATCCTCATAAATATAACTAGTCCAAGAGAGACTAGTGAGAACTGTAAATAGTTTGGTGACCACTAGCTGCTACGACAGTCAGTTCCAGCTCACCACAAGCCCTGTCACGTGGATGACCAGGACTGATCTGGGACTGTCCCGCACATGCGGCAGCACTGCAAGACAGGTTCCCAAACCTTCCCTGGCCTGGCAGCTCACAAAGCAGCTGCCCAAGGGCAACACATAGGAGAAGAAAGTTTCTTGCCTCCAGGCTGGATGAAGCCATGTGATGATGGAGAAGGGGGCATCTGGAGCTGCCCCACTACTGTGGCACACAGCACACCCCAGAGCAGACGCAAGACAGAGATGTTCTCCCTTCTCTACCCCAACTATAGCTCCCCAAAATAGTCTCTTCAGCTGGCTTCTGCTCAGAGCACCCCACATCTATCAGGATGCAGAAGCAAGCGTGATACCCTCCATGCTCTAATCTTTTTTGCCAAAGGCATCTGGGAGGAGTACCCTGAACACTCCAAAGCCACAGGAAAAGGGACTGCAGGATTCACATGGACAATTATTTTGAAAAGCAATAAGCATCGCAACCTTACAGGTTAGCTGGGATGGTAGGAGCTGAAATAACATTTATATTATGGCTTGGCCAAACCAGACACTGCAGTTATAAGGTTTGGGTAAGACCATGAATGTTCATTCATATCTTTGTTCTCATTCAAGAACGTGAAGACTGTAGCAGACTTACAACTAACAGATATGGCGTGCCCTGAAATTGCCAAAGCTTGTAAAATCTGATTTACTCAGTGAGGCAGAAGGGGAAGTCATTTAGTTTGAATCATAAGAGTATCGATATAATCTAAGCTTCATCATATCTGAAGAAATGGCTCACTCCCTGATATCAAAAGGCTGCCTTGTACAGCCTTGATAGCACAATAGCAAAGAACAATTCCTAGAGCTGAAGATTACAAGGTCTTTGTATCAGCTGCACTTCAGTACAGCTTCTCTCACATTACACCACCTGATGGGCACTCCAGGTTTATGGTTAGCTCTTCAGGGGTCCATGGATCTGAAAGCAAGAAGATTGAAGCTTCTTGTAAAGGTGCAGTCCCAGGCATAAATAACGATTTCAATCTACCTTTCTTTTCCTCCCTGAAGTTTTGACTCTCTGGAGCCTCATCCGCTCTAGCAGTCATAGATTCTGCAGCTCTGCTACAGGTGAAAGAATGTAGGCAAGAGGGCTGGTGGTAATTCTGTCTTCATGCCCTTGAAAACATACAGTCTGACCTGGAAGGCTCAGAATGCCCCTTTCTCTGGCCTGAGTCTTGTATGAATCCCATGAGGAGGGATAATGCTTGAAGACCCACAAGTAGAACAAAAGAAAGCTTAAACCCAGCTGAGTACAAAATTTTATTCCCTACCTTAGCTGCTACAGCTGGGGAGGATGTTTTATTGCTGATGACATTTGTTTCTAGAGCCGAACATGCATCTGTGGGAAGGAAGAGTTGACTTTGTCACACCCCCCATGTGGCTGTGTAAAGTAGCTGAGTGGGAGAATTTTTGACACCTCCCTGTGTTGGAGTCAACCCAAGAGTGCAGGCCAAGACTCCAGCAAGAACTTCCCCTGGGGAGATGTGAGAATAGCACAGCCAATCCTGCCTCTCCATGAGAGCTGTTCTCCAGCACTCCCGCAGCCTCAGATAGAAACCAAATTCACAAATGGCACAGAGATGCAAGGAACCAGCAGGAGAAAGGGAAAGGTCAGCTAAGGTTGCTAACCACCATGGCTGCACCAGAGAAAATGGCAAACAAGACTAAACACCTGCAGAGCAGCACTGGGGAAAAACAACATGTGTGTGACAAATGTTGCACTGTGCTCATCGTCCCCTTTCTCCTCTTACAAGAATGTATGTAAGAAACAAACCCTGTTTTGTACAAAAGTGTGCTATGGAAACCATAAAGCAGAAAAAGCAATTGATGCTGGTTGTACTTTGCACATCCATTTCCTTGCCTGTATACAAGTATATAGATTATCCCTACCACCACAGATGAGCAGCACCAGATGCACCTGGCTGAGATACTATTTTATTACCAGCCCCCTGCGGTGAGAAAAGACATCAGGCTTGAGCTCCCGTGTGTTCTCCTGGGGAGCCTGCAGAGCCAGCAGTGTGTACCTCCAGAGCCTTCTCTTAATAAGTAGGACATCCACTTGGCCTTGTCATAGATAACAAGCAGTTTTGACAAGCTTGCAGAAGATGTGCCTTGGGAGTGGCAGCCCCGTGAGTCTCCCATTACTGCTTTTTCAGTTTCTTCATGTCATACCGATGGCCAGCTGTTTGGCTGCTCCCATCAGTGAATTTGCTCTACAAACAGTAGTTCTGCAAAGAAATCACTCCAGCAACGGAGACTGGGATGGTCAGTGGCTTATAGCCGTGTGTACTGAAGCGACAGCAGCAGAGACAGAGGTGCCGATACATCAGTTAGGTCACACAGAGCTGACGATGCTGTACCCTGCAATGACAGAGCACACTGTAGATACTTGCAGAGTGGGGCTGAGGTGAGGATAGTTCTCCGTAAAGGATACTTACTGGATCCAAGAACAAGTGTGGCAGACTCCCATGCTATACATAGGCTTTGCTGTAGTGGCAGCTTTCCACCTGCTCATGTTGCTCCTTGCCTTGGCTGTATGGTGCAACTACCAGCAGTGGGCACACGCCCACCTTCCAGTGTGAGGTCTGCGGGTATAGCTTGAAATAAATGCAAAATAGCTTCCACAACTGAGGCCAGCTGTGCTAGCAACATGCCCAGTAGGACCACTGGACCACTACCTAGTGGAAAAAATGACTCCCTCTCTGGTGCTCAGATGCTCTCAAGAGGCACTCCAAAGCTGCATGGATGACTGCAGGCCCCTGATGTGATTTTTTTTCCCTAGTACTCAAAAAGCAGATGGAGGTTTGTGACTGGTTTCTCCTGGCCAAACTTCCTGCAGAGGGATGACTAGTTTCCAGAGTGTTAGAGACATGTGACCATGGCGAAATGCCAGATGGCTGGAAAAAGCATTGGAGCAGCCCTCACAACGCAGGTCTAGCCTTGGCTGCCAGCATCATGTCCCATATTTACCAGCTCCCAGATAGGAAGACCTGGCTGCAAATTGGGAGTGTGACACAGGGATATTACATAGTGCAATTTTTAGTGATGCCATCGTAGATTGAGACAGAATTAACAGTGCTTCTTCTTTTCCTTGCTTCCTTCACTGTGCAAAGGGATCTGCTTCAAAGGCTCTTTTAGTGATGGTGTAGATGGAAAAAGCTGTTTCAAAGCAAGACACATAACAGGAAATACAATTTTTGCTTCAGTAGATATAATGTTTGTATAATTCTCACAGCAGATGACTTCAAGGAATGATGAAGCACTGAGGTGTAGGTGGGTACTGTAGTTTGCAATATGTAATCAGCTAAGGTCAGTGGTAGGGAAGCTGATGCTTGGTGTTGGAAGGGCTACAAGGTTACAAGGCTATCTCAAAAGCAATGGATTCACAGTTACTCAGTCCCCAGGAGCACTCACAACAGCGAAGCCTCTAGGCACCCTGGCTCTTTGCTCTCACTTGTAATCAGCGTACAGCCAGGGGATTTGTGTCTGCATTTGATTCATGGTGCAGCCAATACCGACACTTGTAATCAGGAGCAGAACACAAGCGGAAAGAAGAACACGGAAACAAAGAGAAAAGCCTCCATGTGGTATCGCTCTCTGCAAACCAGCATCTCCAGCTGGTTTCATGACCTCTTTATGTTGATCTAACTCTGGGCTGCCACAGAAACAATAAGCCCTATCCTTCCTGCCTACCCTGTCAAGAACTGGACCAGGGAATTCAAATGCTATTTACTGTCCTTTAATCAGGTTCCTTTTCATTTGGATCAGCCACCTGAGTGGCATACTGCTCAGCCTGCCCAAAGCACAGGAGGCAGCAGGAGAAGCACAGGCAGTGGCAGCAATTCACAGCCAGATTAGCTTTTAAAAGATGTTGTCTTACAGCAACATCCTCACAGCACAACAGCCTTAACCTGCCTCAACATATCGCACACGCACACTGACACGGTTGCAAAAAGCACAGCCAGGCTCAGAGGTACTGAAATGCGTACGCCACATTGGTTACACACAAATGAGTGATCTGCCCAGACCGATTTCATTTACGCCTTAGTCGCTGAGATGCTTATGCGAGGCATGAAATGAAGATGGAACTTTGCAGACTCCTAATGAGAGTACGCGTGAGACAAACAGCTGGCAGACAAGTTATAACTACCAAAAAAACTTCAAACGAACCAACTACAAAAGACAGTTGCCTATTTATTTTAAAAAAGAATTTTGTTGTTCCTTTTATTTTCAATAAATATGTACGCCTGGAGAATAAAACAGAGGCTTTTTTATCCCCATCGATGTCTAAATGGCAATTCTCAAATGCAAATTTCAGTCATGTGACAGCATTTAATCTGTATCAACAGAGCACTCTGACCCCTGAATGGGATTTTGGCACTCTAGTCCATTAAGTCATATTTACATTCTGGAGGTGGGCACTGGTTCAGAGGAAGCCTGAGGATTTGAACAAGGAGGGAACACTTATCACTTTATCACGTGGAATGCTGCTTAGTCCTTCTGGGAAGTTCAAGTCTCTGTGTGGTTAACAGCTGGGCCAGTCCATTCATCAGCATCATAAATATGGTCAGCGACATCACCAGCACATAGTGGCTTATGCTGCAAGGAGAAGGCAGATAAAAAAAGTGAGAGAAAAGTACAAATTTGCAGAGTTAAAAAAAAAAAAAAATCCCGACATAAACAACCCTCTGAATATTCTTTTTTTCATTTTAACTAGGTCTAATTATTGACCTAGGATGTCATTATATATGCTGCTCCAAGAAGACACATATTGGAGCAGCACTATCATGTCAAAACCAAAGTCTGTAAAAAAATAAAATGGTGGGGACAGCAGAAACCACAACTGAGCACATATCAAGTGAGTAAGAGGTGGTGGCTGTACTTTTTATTCAAGTGGGTAATTCAACTTATGTGACTGAAACAATGGCAAAACTTCCATTTGCTGTCAACTATAATACAGAATCTAGTGAGAACTTGCCATCAGGTAGACATTCCTTGGTAGTAAGACAATTCAGATATTTATGTCAGTCGAAGTGCAATTTTCTAGAGAAAAAACTATTCCAGTGACAAGAAGCTTTAAGAAAAACAAACAAAACAACAAAAAACCCCCCACAAAACTCCCCCCCACCACTACTTTTTCACTCACCATTTCTAAAAAATTGTAGAATTCTCTGCTGTGGTAACATATGTTTTCAAAGAGATTAAAGAGATGAGTTCAAGAGTGCCTAATAAACAGAATATGAAGATGCAGCTTCTGGGTTAGAAAGCCCTTAAGTCACTAAGGATTAAAAGTCTAATGAGCAGAGAGCTTGTTCTCCACTCATTCAAATTCTGTTACCTGATATTCAGATGGGCTTTTTAGAGTCAGACTGAAATCTGACCTAGGATATTCAGCATCCTATGTTCAACAGGGTTCAAGGCCCATTTGGAATTAAATCTGGCTAAGGACGTCAAGAATAACAAGAAGGGCTTCTTCAAAGACACCAATAACAAAAGGAAAACTATGGAAAATGTGGATCTGCTACTGAATGGAACAAGGACCTTTCAACAGATGTTGCAGAGAAGGCTGAGATACTGAACACTTTCTTTGCTCCAGTCTTCACCGCCAAGGTTGGCTCTCATTAATTCCTGACCCAGGAGATCAGGGACAAGGTCTGGAGAAAGGCAATCTTTCCCTTGGTGTAGGAGCATCGGGCTAGAAACTATTTTAAAATCTGACATCCACAAGTGCTAAAGGAACTGAAGACATCAGTGCCAGGCCACTCTCAATCATCTTTGAAAGCTCATGGTAGAGGTGACCTCATGGAAAGCTCACGGAGAGGTGCCAGAAGACCGAAAGAAAGTCAGTGTCACCCCAGTCTTCAAAAATGGCAAGAAGAAGGACCAGGGAGCTACAGACCAGCCAGCCTCGTCTCCATCCCTCAAAGGTGATGGAATTACTCATCCTGGAGGTCATCTCTAAGCATATGGAAGACAAGAAGGTGATCAGGCATAGTCAGTATGGATTCACCAAAGTGAAATCATGCTTAACCAACCCGACTGCCTCCTATGATAGGATATTAGCTGGAGAGAGCAGCAGATACAATCTACCTGGATGGACTTCAAGGCTTTTGACACTGTCTCCCTTGATATCCTCAAAGGCAAACTCAGGAAGTGCATACTGGATGAGTGGACAGCGAGGTGGATTGACAATTGGCTGAACAGCCGATCCCTGATGGCCATAATCAATGGCACAGGGTCAAGTAGGTGGCCTGTCACTAGTGGTGTCCCCCAAGGTTCAATACTGGGCCCAGTACTGTTTAAGTTATTCACCAGTGACTCGGATGACAGGGCAGATGCCTCCTCAACAAAGATGTCAAGAGGATGAAGCCAGGCTCTTCTCCAAGGTGCCAAGCAACAGAACAAGAGGCAACAGGCAAAAAACTAGAACACAGGAAGTTCCACCTGAATATGAGGAAGAATTTCTTAATTGTGACTGAGCACTGGAACAGACTGCCCAGAGAGGTTGTGGAGTCTCCTTCCCTGGAGATACCAAAAGCCATCTGGACACAATCCTGAGCAACATGCTCTGGGGGATCATGATTGACCAGGGAGGTTGGACTAGATGACCTCCAGTGGTACCTTCCCACCTCAACCATTCTGCAATTCTATAACATCTCAATCGAGCTGTTGTTACTGTAAACCACTAGTCATTAAGAGACCAGAATTTTTCCAAAGCCAGTGACATTCCAGGCTAGAGCTGCAGATGAAACACCTCTGCACTAGTCTTCATCATGCATCCAGTGCTGCTTTGTTTTTTTTCTGGGACTAATGAAGACACTGGCATTCTGCCATGAGACATAATCATACCTCCTGATGCACTTATACCCACAATTTCAAAGTAGATGCCTCTTTAGGACAAGCAGAGTAACTTCAGACTCAATGAAGTCTGAGTTTAGTCACAAAAAAAGATTGCAAGGAACGCTTGCTGGCTTAATGACCTGGAATTTCTGCCAGAGGACTCATTCAGTTTGAGAGTTTAGCCACAGAAGAGCAGTAAAGCTCATAATGCCGATGCTATCAATCCTCACAACCCTGAGACTATAGCAACTCTGGCACTAGCCTAGCACAATTTAGCTCTGTGAAGTGGAGAAGCACCAGCTCTTACAAAGCTGGGCCACTAACCACTGCGAGAGAGTAAAAGTAATCCAAAAAGTTCATTAATGAGCACAAGCTCTTCCACAGCCAGAGTACCAGTAACTAAAGGACCAAAGTGTATGGAGAAAACAAAACCAAACTTTTAAGTCTCTTGCATTGACAGTCAGGATTCCACACCCTCTCTCTGTTTCACAAAAAACAAATCACAAAGCACATTGGTTTTGTTTTAATAGTCAGACCAAGAAGCCCCAGCACCCCAACCCTGAAATCGATTCCGTTATCCCTAAAACCTACAAAACCAGTCTCGTGTCTAATCTATGTCCCCTGACCTTCGAGACCGCAGAAGAATAGTTAAGATCATAACTTTATCTTCCAACAACTGTTATAAAAACAGGGAGCAATACAGTACATGTCTGTATAAAGCTATATAATAGTCATACAAAGAACCTTTAAAGCTTATCTTGACTATCAGATTATAAAGCTATTTACATATTGCATATACTGTAAAGACATGGTAGGCTTTAAAGGCTATTTCTCTCTCTCTCTCTCTCTCTCTCTCGGTTGATCTATAGATAGGGACAGATAAATATACCTTTTAAGCCGCAGAGAAACTATTTTAGTGACATTTCATATGATGCAATTTAGGTTACCTCAAGATACAGAGGTAAAGGTTAGCTGACCTCAGAAGCTTGCGTAAGCCGCTGCTTTGAGTTCCACATTCACTGCAAGATTATTATCCTGTTATTACACCAACACAATGAAAAGCACTCTCTGAAAGACAAGTTCGCACTGATTTTGGCACTGCCATTAAAAAAAGGGGCTTTAAAACTTTCTAAGAAGCCATAAATATTTATGGCAATTGATAATGTACTGCAAGGAGGGAATCAGTGGTGCATTGATAACTTGCTGAATGTGGTAATACGGGACTGTATGTTGGATTTTTTGTTGCTCAGCATTTCATTAATGAACTGGAAGAGTGGAATAGGTGGAAATCTGCTTCCATTCAAAGACAATACTTAAGTGGCATGGTGAATTCAGCCAGGAGAATAAAGACATCACATTGTTCATGCAAATACAAGGCACAGTAAAATGATGTGTCATGTAGTTAAGACATGGCAGAACGAGATGTAGAATCCAGGAGTGAGGGGTGAAATTTTTAAACAAAGGAAATGTCAGTTCAGTAAACAAACCTTACTTCCAAACAATGAGATTCACTAGCAAATAGAACATCAGCATAAAAAAAGCAGTGAAGGTTTTTTAATCACAAGAGATTTAAAACCAGCCCCTCCACATGACACTTAGGTATTGGAAAAGACAAGTATTGCTTAATGAGAGTCTCCTACTGAACTTGCATACTTTCAGTAAAAGAGAGAGGATATACAGAAGTTTTAAAGTGTGGTAATTAGAAAATCCATAGAAAGCTATCACCACAAAAAAGAGTGAGTATGGAAACATTCCTCAGAAGCTTTACAAACGTGGCACATATACCACTGGACTGACAGACTTCAGAGGAATGAACCCCTACTGGGCAATTCCATTGCTGCTTTTCCACCTGTGATTTCAACGATGTGGTAACCAGTAAGATAACACAAATCCAGATATTTCTGCTCATACACACACACATACCCCCAGTATCAGTGTCACAAAAGAAAACCAAAGCACCTCCCCCACCAAAAAAACCCAAAAAACATGAGAGCAGCTGTTCCTATTCTTTGTTCTGTAAAATCCTGTCCAGGTTTTGTTCAGATACAAACAGTTGGGGGTGAAAAAAAAAGAACCCTCATTTCCTTAACTGACTCAGCCTTCTCAGGAAAATTTTGGCAACATGTAAAATGTCAACTAAGACAGGATATTTTCAGTCCTTGCTGTCAAAACAGCATCAGACAACACTGCAATGAGAATTGCCACAGAGTTGTCACTGCACTTGCAACAGGAGGACAGGAAAAAGCCATGTTAGTATCTCACTCCCACTGGTTTTGGGAATTGCCCAAACCCCCGTGAAGCTCATCTTCCCTTTCAGGAATAAACAACAAAAAAAAATATCTTCTGCTGTTGCCTGCTAATTTTGCCAAGCCTGAGGATCACACATTAGAACTCTGCTCAGAGGAAAATGTTCTGGTGCCAAAAAAATGCTCATGCTATATAAAAGAAGGACCATTTCAGCACTGTCCCTATGGTTTTACCTCTTTTCTTATACAACCTCATTATTTTTATCTTATGTGCCTGTACAGACTTACATACATACATCACAAATATAAAGAGACTACAATAAAATAACATAGGTGGTAGAATCAAGCACTCAAAAGTGAAGTAATGACAGAGACTGCCTGAACATTATGTATTGCCACGTTAAAAATTAATCACAAATTACTCTTTCAAAAGGCCTTTTTCAGTGCTTTCTTCAGTGATCAAAACACACATGCAGAGAGGCAGAGTTACAGTGGTGCATAACAAGCTCTCCTAAACTCTTAGAATAAGGCAAACTTCCAGCTGAAATGGATCAAACAGTGCAGCACTGTTGTAAAGCTCTACACTATGAAGGCCATGTATCAGAGAGAAAGCTTTTGAGTACTTGTAACAATTTATATTTTTCCTCCTAAGTCCTACTTAGCAAGCTTCTTGCCCAGCAGAACACAAATTTTCTAAAGTCTTTAATATCCTTATTAATCTGCATAGGAATTAAAACCAAGGGATGAGGCCATCTGAAAGCATCATTTCCACTATTTGATCTAACTGTATCTCTGCCCACTAGGAACCTTCAAAAGGAAGGAATTCCACTAGAAATTGGAACCTCCAAAGAAAACAGGTAGAATACGTGTGCACGTGTCCTCGCACACACCTGCTGCTGGGAACGTGGGGAAAGTAGACTAAACAGAATATTAACAATGGGTCACTATTCAACCTCTGTTTAAATAACAGTGTCAAGTGACCAGATTGATCGGATTAGTAACAACGCATTCCCTGCTAAGCTTATTATGGCATATTATCTATTTCCACAACTCAGGGAAGGTAAATGTGTATTCCTTGTGTTTATATTTGTGGACTATTCACAAACAAGACTGCACACTTGAAAACCTGCCCCATGATGTATGCTGTGGAGACCAATATGACTCACGACACAAAACAAATTCTCTCATTTTACCTGTGATTTCCATGTTTAAATGCTAAATTTAAACTCTTCCTCAAGCAGAGGGAGGATAAATGCATGGGCCTTGGTAGCCACCAACATATTTACACAAGGTTCATGAATTCACAGTGGACTGTATATGGAGGCTTAACGAAATAGAAGACAATTAACAACTTTGATAAATTGTTATTTTAACAGTGATTACAACTAATTGAAATGAAAAACAGTAATAAGAATATTTTTTGTGTAATTACTCTTCTTTAGAAATGAAACAAATCCTACTAACTGTATTTCTTCCTGTGCTAGATTCACTGCTTACTCTGTGTTGCTCTAGCACAGATTTTAAGACACAAGTTTTAGCTTGGGATATGTATACATATGTGGGTACATGTGTTTCAAGCATGTGGAACATCCTCAAATCATTAGATTAAGGAGAATAATTGGAAAATATTACAAGAGTTATGAGTGGATAAACAACAATATAAACCTATGTGCCTTTAAAATGCAGTGGAGGCAAAAAAGGTACTGTACCTTGTTCCGATATCCAGCCAGCTTCCATAATCTTTCACCAAAAAGAAGAAATGCTAAGAAATAAAACAACTTTGATTAGTACATCAACACTGCACAATTCAAAACAGAAAATTAAACCCCAATGTTTCAAGCTATTTACTCCAAATTTCTAATTCTTCAAGTAGAATAAGGGCAAAACATTTCCAGAAATGCTCATTTGGACCATAGTAAATAATAAAGAGTAAAGAAAAATTTCTAGCTGGTGGCCACATTGCTTCAAGATCACAAACCCTGTTCTCTTTTTTGTCCTGCAACTTCCTCTCTTCTTGATATACACAGAGCTCCTGCACATCACACTTATTCAGTAATACGTGGCGGTGGTTTTTTTTGTATACCAAGTACATACTTCCTAATTGTTTTAAAATACTTAAACCAAAACAGAAGAATATGTGAGATGTAAGACCTGGATATTCTGGGCTCACTAAACACCGGTAAATACCTGCAGGCTTCCTTTGGTTTAGTTATACTGATTTTATTAGTGAAATGCTATGAATGTGGTTTAATGGTATTTTAAACCTTTTCCTGTGGGAATTATCCAAAATCAGATTAGTCATACAGACTTATCTGAAACTAGATATAACTATACCTTCTTCATTTCTCACTCTACAGACAAGTTAGTAATTACTGGATTTTTACTCACTGTTTTTCCTATCAGGTGATATTCACAGATCACACTGCACTAGGATCAGGAGAGCTTACTCCAAGGGACAAAACAAAAACAGCATGTATGAAGTAACAACACCAGCTCTACCTGCTGGTTTGAATTGGTTTCTGTTTTCCTTGTGATACACAGGGGCACTGCTTGTTGAGCTGAAGGCAGTTTGAATGGACAACGAAAGCCTCCTTTTAATCTGCAGAAATTATGTTAGGGTATTGTTCAGCTTTGGGTTGTTTCAGCTAGCTTGGTTTGCGGATGTGAGCTCCCTGAAGACAGCATTTCCTAACAGTTTATTACAAAGTTCAAAAAGTGTATTTTCACATGTAGCTGATCTCTTGGATTCTGACAAATTTCAGAGAGCTGGTGGGTAATGCATTTCTCTTTTTCAAGGGAAGCTGCTGTGGGTAAAAGGTTGAAAATTCCTAAAAGATTACCCAAACCATGCCCACAGCTAAAACTGACATTCTTATTTAAATTTTTCAAAAAGAATTTGATTGTAAAGTATATGAAAAACTCAGAATGGTAACTTATTACTTCATTTTTGTCTCCTATTATTATGAGAACACTGCTTCTTCAGAAGCATTAATTACATGAAATTCGAAGAGCAGTGATTGGAAGAGTTTTATCTCCAAGTTATGCTAGGATTTCAATCCAATTCTCTGCCCTAGTTATAAAAACTTTGAAGTCTAAAACAAATTCAGATCTCTCTTGATGGAATTAGGAGAACCCTCTGCTTTTTGATCTTATTGGAACAGAATGTGCAACAACAACTTACCAAAGCCATAATGTCTGAAATCACAAGAACAATGAGGAAAAGGCTGCAATGAAAAAAAAACAAAAAAACACCAAAATCAGACCACTGACCTTTATTTACGGCCACAGTTGTTAGATACAATTTCTCATACTTGACTTTCAAACACTCAGGTACATTTCAATGCATTAGAGAACAGTTAAAATACATGACTAGGACATCTGGCATTTATAATCCCACCCTGCCTGAAAAAGGCATTTCAAATTAACAGAGTTTCAATTTTGCAACAGAGAAGCCTAACTTGAGTTATGTTTTGGAGAACAAGAGCTTCTTACAAACAGCACCTGCCTATTCCTGATGCAGGGAGCTCTGTGCTGGTTAGACCAAATACAGCTGATTTAGAAGCTTCACAGTGTACCCAAGAGTGAGCAAAGCTGTTTGGCACAGGCAGACAGACACTTGAGTTGATCAGTCCCACCCTGATAACCACCCTGCTGGAAAAGAGGTTGCTAAATGAGGATCTTTGCCCCCTTCCAGATCTCTGGATGCCCGTAAGCTGCTCTGGGAACACCCAGCATTTTGGTGGCACGCTTCCAAACCCATGGGCCTCTCTGTCAGGTGGCAGGTTACTCCTGGGAAGTAAGCTGCGGCCAGTAAAACGAATCAGAAGGGAGGATGCAGAACTAGTTTTTTTCCCCCCATTAACCTAATCTTCTTTTCATTAAACCTTGTAAATCAAATTACGTGAAAGCAATTGCTGTAACTGGTTAAAACTGGTTTCTAAGTTAAGGACACTGAAACAATGTTGCAAACAGCTGACCCATTAACAAAAAACCCTTTAAATAGAATTACAGATAATTTATCAGTACTACCCTCATAAAATCACAAAAGGTTTTTTTGGGGAAAATGTCCTGCTGCAGGGTTGCATGAGCATGTACTGGGGTGACACCCTTACCAATGCCTCCAGATGAGGAAGTTTCTGATATTGCCTATGTCAGTTGTACTTCATTAGTAAATCAACAAACCAACTGCATCTTGGACACACAGAAAGGCTTCTCTCCACCTACCTATGGCTCAGATAGGATGCTGCAATCTTACAGTGCCTAGGAGGCACACAGCTAGAGGGCTATTTTCACAGGGTAGCTCCAAGAACATATTGGGACAGAATATTCCCCAAAGAAAAGAAATGAATCTGTTAAGAGGGAGTTTCAGGAGCAATTTGTCCAAATCATAAAAATCTACTTTTTGCCTTTCTGAACTGCAGGAAGCCTTTCACAACAGAAGGACAATGCTAATTTCAGGGCATGTTTATACACTGCAAAGACAAGACTGTTCCCTGTGATGGCTTAATTTATCTAGCAGGGGCAGCAAGAGCAATAAAGATTGCAGCACAGACTTCAGGATGCACTGACAATCAGAGCACAACCCCTCCAGGGATCCTGGGCACGTCTTGTGGTTTCCGCTTGTTCCCAGGCTGGTGCTGTGGCAGTATCACTGCTATTGTTACCTGAGCACAGCTAAATGAAGCTGGCACAAACATCAGACAGTGTAAAACCACAGCCTCATAAAGCAGCACAGACATACTCATGTCCTCTGGTTTACGAAGCTGGTATTGTTTCCCCTCTCACACACTCAGATTAACATTCCATAAAAGTTTGCAATATCACCAGTGCTGCCAAGGCAAGCATTCACGAGTTAGGAAATGCTGACCTTTATGCTGCTCAAGCCCTAGAAATGAAAATCACTAGCTGGTTGTCTGAGTAACCCCAGTCCCTTTTGTATGAACACTAGTGATGAGGATGAATACCCTTCCTTGGGGGTCCAAATATAGCCCAAGTACAGTGCACACACAGAGCAGGGAAAAGAGATGGTGAGCCTCGTGCTGCCACTCCAACATGAAGTCAGATTTCAGGCTACCCCGTCTCTCATTAGTATGGAGTGGTGTTGTATAAAGGAGATAACAGACAGGGCACAGGTAGGACGAAAACAAACAAAAGGCAGAGAGCATCGCAGCAAGTGAGAGCAGCTTTCTCCTGCTCAGCTGAGCAAAATGAAGGAGAAAGTCCCCGTGGTCCTTCTGCCACTGACAGCAGGACTTCAAGTCAGCCCGACACAACATCCCATGGTGACAGGCTGAAAACCACATGGTTGACAGGCACCTCCTCCACCTCAGCACCATCCATAATATCACATGATGAGCAGAGGATTCAGTCATGTGCACTGGGTCCACTGAAAGGGGTAAGGAAGGCTAACACCGAAAATAAAAATCTAGAGATAGTGAAAAGCATGAGGATATTTCAAGTCTGGATACAGCCCTCTGTGAGGCTGGGCACCCATTTCACATGGTCTTTGCAAAGTCTTCAGAGATGAGGAAAGGACTGGCAGCCATCTGGTCCTACTGCAAAAAATATGTACAACTGAACACATCTGGGAAGCACTGAAGTGCAATGAAAGGACATCGGCCTTCTTTTTTTTTTCTTTTTCTCAAATGCTATTTGAGGTGAGGTCAGTGCTAAAAGCTATAAGGTGGTTACATTATAAATGGGATATTTTAAAAATAGTATACTACAGGCAGAGATGCAATATAAAATAAAAATTGGACTTTAAATTCTGCTCATTTTTTACATTATGGAGGAAAAAGTGCTCCTTCTGTGTATTGTCAACAAAGAATATTAAATATCTGATTGTTTCAGACAGGGTGAACACTTCCATTTATACTCATTTATCACTAAGAAAACAACTCCTGAGCTTGCAAAAATCACTAAACAAAACCTCAAACCATAATAACAAATAAAAGTAACAATGTGGTCTAATAGTTTTTGGGTTTTTAAAATTCAGATTGAGTTATGATTGTCTTGAATTCTTATAAAATAGATTTGAAACTCTTACTAATGCAGAAATATAGCACTTACTATACCTCTTAGAAGACAGCTGTGTTGTGACTTGAACAGCTTCAAAAGCACATGATACCAGAACAAATGGGATCACAACCTGTTTAAGACACAAGCTACATGTTGGCTTACAGTAATATTTACAAAACAACCTGGGCAGGTTGTGGAAATATGTTCTTGCTTTTCAAATTATCACAGAATGTCTATGTTATGAAAATAAAATATAGGCTAGACAGGGTAGAAAATAATTTAGCAGGAGACACTTCCATTAAATGAAAAACTATAATTAGAACACATTAATGATCCTCACTTCATTTATCCACTTTAGCACTAGTGATAAATACTGCAATAAGACTGGAAGTCACAACTATTCAGATTCAGTATCTCACGTGACAGGCTGCAGAGCTCCAAGTGTTATAGGACAATCTCATCTCATCTCAACCCCAAAAAAGTCTGAATATAGAATGCATTCAGTAAGACTAGGATCATAGTGCCCCTCAAAAGCCAAGTCAAACACATGGTTCAGTAAATCAAGAACAAAATAAACAAGTTAGAAATATGAACATTGCCTTTTGCTCTTTACAAAGCTGACTTGCAATCCTTAAATTAGCCATGTCAACGCATTGCTAAACCTGATTTCTTGCATCCAGAAGGTTTGCATTATTGGTGTCCTGCCATATAACATGCAGTATACCTGTAATTTAAGTCTGCTTTCTCTGGGACAGAAGCAGCAGAAAGACAGAGGCAGGAAATACTGCTTATTTTAGCAATCATCAAAAAGTCAATGTTCCCCTTCACCCCTCTGGCAGACCCTTTATTCAAATACTCTAGAAAAGAACTCCCACACTTTGCCTGCAAACAAGAAGTGCATGCAATCCAATCTTTGACAGACTATTTAAAAATATAAAAAATAATATCCATTGTAAAATGATAACCTAATCAGTAGAACATTCAAAGCTTGTACTTAATGTAATATAGTTAAAGCTAATAATATATTTATAATCTTACCATTTCTGTAGATATTATGCTAAATGAAAAGATTATAATTTTTAAAATTAATTCTTTTCAACATTTGAGATTTCCATTTTAATACAATATACTGACCTAATGCTGTTAAATTATACTTCTGTACACTTTAGCTTCTCTCTTTTGGGAAATAGAATGATCTGTTTCTAGAAACACTACAAAGGCTGAAAGCTTCACACATCATTAAGAAGGTCAATGAAGTTCAAATACATATATATGTTTTTGTGAATCGCAAAGTAACGACCATGTACATTATATACATTATTTATTCAACAGTTCTTTGAGAGAATTTCACTAAGTAAGATTACTAACCTTCAGTACAAGCAAGCCTCCCATCATGAAGGGACTGAACACAGTCAAGAAACAATAGACAGAAGCAGGATCAAAACTAAAGAAACATGAAAAAGACATTATATATCTTTGAAATGGCATTTTCCATTAAAAAATAGAGCATTTAGTTATCCTGTAACACACTGAGTGTATATATATTTTTAAACAAGGTTTCCAACTTTCTCTTCTCTTGTTGAAATATTAAATTAGCAGGGACTGCCAGCCTCACTTTTCTTTCTCTACAATTATTCTCTGCTTATGTTTTTCAAGGTGCCATGCTGATGGTGAGCGACCAAACTCTCTCTGTTCATGCTGTCAGTAACTTCAAACAGAACTGAGACAACCTCGTAACCAACAATCTCAGGCTCTTCAGGGACATGTCACAGAGAGCAGAAGCAAAATAAATTATCACCATTCCACTGATTATTGCTTTAACTCTGCTGCCCTGATTTTGCTAACTAAATTTATATTTAGTATGCCAACCGCAGGAAGAATTTTTTGCATCCTGTGTCTCAAATCAATGAATAAAATTTACCTGTTAATAGAAGCTATGTTTCCAGTGCCAAAAAAGGCTGTCACTATGAAGAAAACCTAAATGTATTTAAGGACAATACACCACAAAAATGGCTACAATAAAATAAAGCATTCCCCCCCTCCTTCACTCCAATTTACTTTCCAAATCTATCATGAAGTTAAAAGAAGTTGACCCACTATGACAGCTTATACTGGATTAAGAAATCCCAAGTATTGCCTAGCTCTACCCTAGATTTCACAAATGACTTAAGTGAATTTTAAAAGTCAGGGACTGCCTGGGTAAGGGTTTACAGCCTGTCTTGAGGCCCCTGTAAGAAAGCTGCAGCTGGCCTTTTGGGCCCCTACCTGGCAATAGAGGAAATATCTGGACCACAAACCCAACTGGGCATTCAAACACACGCACTTTTGCAGACAGTAATGATATATGTGTGTGTTCTGCACACCGAAAGAGATGGCTTTATTGAGGAACTGACCATGGAAGAGGCAGCTGGCTCTTAAACAAGATTAAAGGTTTGTATGCTATCCTTCCCACAGATTTGTTGTCCAAAGGTTATGCTGAGTCTACCCATTGCAACACAGGATGCCCATTTTTTTCCTTACTTGAGGGAGGGAGGATGAATCCAGCAATATCCATATAGCTGGAAATTTTTTGATAAACCCTATACTTTTCATCTAGATGCAACACTTGCTGCTATATGAGCCCACAAAAGACATTTTTCTACCTCCTGAGCTCACTGGAGCCCATTATAGTTCAATTGAAGGATGGTTTTTAACTGCTTTTTTGCATAAGGCAGAGGGTTAGTTAGTGAGGATGGCTGTTGCTGCCAGGGCTCCCTCTGGTCCTTTCGCTCCTGTTACAGCTCCTGCACTGGATCATTTAAGTCTCTCCATAAACAATTTGCTACCAACTGTTCAGTAGAATTGTTGTGATTCCTCATGCAATATTTTGGAAGGATTAGGTCAGCATAGCTGAAGAAATTATGCTTCCCAAGAGTATCACATAACTTCAAGTTTAGTAACACAGCAGTCTAACAGAATAGTACAGTTCTGCCAGCTAAGATTTATAAGAACAAGAGGTCTGCGATAAAACAAACAAAAAAACACCAGTGGCACATAGGTCTAATCGAAATGCTAAGCATGAATCTTCTTCCCTAAGATGAGGCTATACAGTCTGTCAGCAAATGCTGACTATTGGGCCCTATATAGGAACCTTGAGACAATCTTAAGACACACAGTTCGCAGGATCATAGTCGCACTGTGACTGCTCTAGCAGAAAAGGTTTCTCCTCTAATACCACTATTTCTAAACATTAAACAGCGTCTAAGTTAAAAAAGCCACAGCATCTTGTGAGCAGGTGTGCATCATACCTGCAAAGGAGATCTGCACATTGTTTATCTTTTTAAGTGCTGAACAAAATACATTCAAGTGTTTTAAATTAAAGTAGTGCTCACTGGTGGGGCACTGTGAGGAGCAGAAAAGGCCTTGACTCTGTGTAAGCACTGTACTATCAACACTGTTCTCAGCACAAATCCAAAACGTAGCTTCACCCTAGCTACTATGAAGAAAATTAACTTCATCTCTGCCAAAACCAGCACAGCTACATTCAAGTGTTAAAGTAGTACTATGCTGGACCTTTAAAAAATACAATTGGATTGCTTGATTTTTTTTTTTTTTTGCTAATTTTTAGCATCTGACAGACAGCTGTAGCTTTACTAAAAGCTTATTTTTTGTTAAAATAGGAAATTAAATTGATAAATTTACTGGAAGATGTCTCTGCTTTTCTCAGGTATACTCTAAAGCAAGGACAAACATCCAATGCCTAGCAAACTATTTTGCTTGCTTTCTTAGCACTAAACTGCCTTCTTAAAGTGGTTTCTGTTATACTTCCTCTGATGCAGGTTCCCAGTGTTCAACAGCATAGTTCCAAATTCAAAGAGTGTGGATGCTGTGACTGTGATACACTCTCTCACATTTGGTTATTTGGCAAACTGGAAGATCTGTTTTTGCAAGAACCACTATTGAGACAACTCCCTCTGCAACTACAATAATCCACCTGCACTAGAAATTCCTGTGTTCTAGACTGGCTCATAATTTCTCTCTTACTTGTCCACTGATCATCCTTGCTGCCAAATAGCTCTCACTTAATTGCAGCCCCACAACGAAAGAGAAAAATTACAATGCTATCATGTCTGTACAGTATTAAAAAAAAATTCAGTTGCAGTTTCAGTTACAGCAATGCAAACTAACTGCTATGTTAGAGAATGGACAGCTCTTCCCTCCTAAGCCCACATCACCTCTAACAGCAGAAACCACTTGCGATATAAATAATTCTAGGCCAGATTCTGTGAAAGTGTTTTACTAAGAGCCTGCAGGAAATTTCTTTCTTGTCTCATCTGCTGGGCCATGGCCCATGCCTGCTTCCTAACATTTGCTTCCTAACACACTGCCATACTCTAAAAATGAGAATAACTTTAATATCACCTTTTTCAACTGAGTCATGAAGGTGAATGAGTTCCCTCCAGTCAAAATGTAATAGAAAAAAAACAAACCGAAAACAGAACTCCTTAGAAGAAAGTTTACCTCAACTGTAATGGTTATAAGTGGGCAAGGAACCAGATTTCAAAACAGTTAATTTTTAACTACTTGATGAAAAAGCATAATGTACAAGATCATTGCCTCCTGAGCAACATGAGTCAAATCATCTTTACCAGCTTCTGTTTCCAGTGACTACCAGGCTACAAATTATGATAACAGGTTTTTTTGAAACAAACTCATCTTTTCCCTGGCATGCAGCAACCAGCAGAAGGATACAAAGAAGAAGGATCTCCGAACATCATCTAGGTGGAGCTGTCGAAACTGAGTTATATCCACAGCATAGGCGAAGTTGAAAACAGCAAGCTGGAAAGAGAGCAGAAGAAATCAATACTGAATATCAGCTGAGGGACTTTGATAGAGCCAATATATTTTTACTGAAATGAATGAGAAAAAACCCTACTTCCCTATCATCTGTTATTAAAGTATTATAATGAGGATCGCAAACCTTTCCCATATTTCCATTATACTTTATTGAATTAATGAATCTGCCAGAAAGACTGTACAAGTAAGATGATCAAATGAACAGTGGAGCTCCACTGTTATCTACACTAAAAATGAATTTCTATGCCTTAGACTTATCATCATAAATATTCCTCCTACACACACACACTTCCACTGCTCACACGAGCATGTAGATAAAGACCTGCAGAAATAAAAGACTGCAATTATCCTCATTTGACTTCTTTTGTGAATGAAAATGCTAAAATATTCTCCATCTCCTTTACTCAGGTCTCAGCACAATATCACTTGACCTGAAGAGAAGTTATCTTTATGGAATTTAAGAGGTCAGTGAACTGCTTTTCAATAGGGAAAAGAAAAAAAATCAAGTAATAGGCATTCAACACTGACAAGGTTTTAATTAAAAATAATCTCACATCATCAGAGAACCGAGCCGGATTCTCTAATACGAGATTTACTTTGCAGCATATATTAACAGGCATTCTAGGGATGATTTTTTCTAACCTAAAACATAAAGCACAGGTAAATGTTTTTGTTCCTTTCACTTGAAACCAAAAGTTTTAAGTGAATATTGACGTACAGGAAGTGACAACATAAAAAATTACAGCATACCTATGTTCTTTTCATTTGCATTTGATTAATAAAGTGTTTATCACTGTTTAATATTGTTTTAATAGAATTTTATTTTACAACAAAGAGAACACCAGACCAACCACACAGATGCCTCGTAACAAGATGCAAAAGAAAGAGTGGGTTCTAGAGTGGAGGAGAAAGTACATCCCACAGATGCCAGACACCCTTAGTTGCAATCAAGGCATCACACTAAATGTACATTTTTGCATTCAGATTCCAACTCTATCACTTAAGATGCCACAAAACATGCTCACACATCATCCTAACTAAACGTAACATAAGTTGCATCGTGAGCAGTATGGGCTTTGCGAATTGTTGACAACATACTATGATTTAAGGTGAAAGAAGCTGCATTGATTACAAAACTCCCTCTTCAAGCAAATCTGAGAAGGTGCTAGTTCCAGGCTAGTCTCCAGCTCCATGCCTGTCTAAACAGAGAAAAATCTCCGCCCCTGAACAAAGAATAGGACAAAGTCAAATGATGATTTCTAATATTTCTTATGTGTCTTTTCAGAAATCAAATTATTTCTTTTCAGCTTCTCACTCGTGACTCTGAGATCAGAATAAAAAAAGTAGTCACATTGTACTTACTCTAAAAGAGTTACTGTACCTTATGCTGAATTAGCACTATATTTAATGAACAGAGCTTTGAAGCCTACAAAACATACCACTGTATCTTACTAAGTCAAACTGTCTTCCTGTACTCCTAGAAATGGCTCTGATGTGCAATATTTTCAATAACATAAATTACAAATCTTTCTAACAAGGTCACATTCCTAGTCCATGAAACAGCTGATGAGGGCTTCCCAAACTTGAAGAAATGCAAAGTGTTGTCGTCTGAAAACCACTCAGAATATTTATTTCATTCTCAACAGAAAGAAAAAAAAAAAAAGCTGTTACTTAACCAGATATATCTGTCAAGAGCTCTTACCTTTGGTTTGAGTGAAAGACCATAGTGTTGCAGTGCTTCTTGCTCCATATTTATCCACACAAACATCAAACCAAATAGCACCAGTGGAAAGAGAGCTTCGTATCTGAAGAGTAACATAACGATCATAGTAAATGTAGCCACTAACAACTAAACATCAAATGCTGACATGTTTTTTTTTCTTTTTTCTTCACACAAAGAATATACCAAGACCTAGAGGTACTCTCTCCCTTCTCTCCCCATTTCTGAGTACCCAAAGTTGGTTGGTTGACTTTTAAGGCCATACAGTAATTAAAGAGTAAAAGTATGAGAAACAGAAGTTGCTTCAGCTTTGCCATGTTTTGCACCCACTTTCTTGTTTGATGGCTGCCACAACATTGTATGAGCATCTTTTTTAATTCTAACAAAACTGGAATAAAGTTAAAAAGAAGCAGGAGAAAAAGAATCACATTTGACATTCATTTTCTGCAAAATGGAAAATTTTATTATGAGAGCTACTTGGAACTGAGGAGTTACAGTCCAACTTCGACAGCAACTAGAGATTGTGTCTCCTTAGGACCTAATCACACAAACTCATTCTGGTGATCTCAGTTTAGTTCTGAGAGAGGAGAGAGGCATCTGTATACTAAAAAGAGCATCACATTTCACTGAAGTCAAGTACACCAATATAGCACTATATACCAATCCTTCATACAGCAGCCCCAAGTCACAGTCTAACCATGGCCAGTCAGCTGTTCTAGCTACGCCCTCAGTCTCAGAGGAGTACTTCTGTTTCCTACAGCACTCAAACAGCAAAGCATGAGGGCACTTACATGAGAGATTAAGACCCACAGATAACATAGTGGTGTAGATTGTAATGGGATAATATTTAGTTTCTCCTTGCCCTCTACATCTCTGTTGAACTTCATGGTACATCTCTATTTTTTTTTTTTCAGGATAAAATTCACTGACTGCGATACTAATACTGACAAGATTGTAAATGTTTTCCTTTTTATTTTTTTCCTCCTTAGACACACACTTGTTTGTCTGAAAATAAGAAAATCATTGCAGTTAATCTTAGTATTGTTCCTCTTGGGCTCCCCACTAGCACAGTAACAAAGCAGTTTCAAGCTGGAACAAAAAATTTTGAATAGACATTTCTGTTTAACTACCAGAATGACAAGATGTTAAACATGAAGACAACAACAGCTGGGTTGTCAGTAAACAGAAGTACCTACAATCCTCATAATGGCCTACACTTGCCTACAAATTAAATGCCTTCAACTGAGTCAATGACAACTGGCTGTATGTAACCATGCTCTTCAGCTGGCTTCAATACTCCCATTAACTGCACCTAGAGAGGTGCTGTAATTACCCAGACAAAGTTCTGGGTTACGAGTAAAAGGTATAAGAGCACCCTGAGGAGAGAAATACTGGATACTTTTGGCATCAAGTGCTTTGGCTTTTCTTTTCCTTTTTAAGACTTATTCCAGAATATTTTTTTTCTATTTGGACATTTTAGGAAGACAGCAGAGAACTGTCAGAACTGTCAGTGTTTATATGGTCTGGCGCAGGGCTAAAATACAAAGAGGGTGATTGCCAGCTTCAGAGAGAACAACATTCATGCTTTATCCAGTAGCAGCACAGGCTAAGAAGGTTGAGTGTAAGAATGTGTGTGCAGTCAGGAGTAACATTAGGATCAAAATCTTAATAGGGAAGTGGGAGGAAGGGGAGGCAAAAGATAAAAGAAAAAAAGAGATGCTTCAACCAAAATGAGAGTATCCACAGGAGGCAGCTATTGCAAAATGTCTGCTGCAAGATATTTAATTCCACTTAATTTTCCAGTGTAATTAAATCTGGAGGATAAGTGGGAGGAGAAGTGGAAAGAATGGTTCCTATACTCCCCATTAATTATGCTCTTAAGAGCTACCAAGTCTGAAAGAAAAGAAAGGGTGGGCTGACATAGTGTTTTCTTCATTTAAAACACCAGAGGAGTTGACTTTTATCCAAAAAGAAGCAAGATCTAGTCTTTATGGGAACAAGCAGCCCTTTGGGAAAAAAATTACTTCCACAAAAATCTCTCAGAATAAAATTTTCCCTCATTTTTGGACTACTTGTTTCTTGTCCCACATGATTTAAGCCATAACTAGACACCAATGTTGAGCAGCCGGGAGAAGAACCATTTCCTTTTGTTTGTGAGCAGAAAAGCACATGTCATAACAACAAAGGACATAAACTAAACCAGACGTTCTTATTTTACTGCAAGACTGTTTGAATACACACCCTTCCAGGCACTGCTTCATCTAGTTGAAAGGAATGTCAACAAACTAGCGTTTATAATACAAGCAGGAATATGGAAGTTCCTCTGAAATTTTATTTAGTAAACTAAACAAGGAGATAAATAGTGATACTACAGTTGGAAGCAAATGTTACACCTCCAACAGAACTGCGCATGAGATGAAGCAGCTTCACATACAGCCCTGGATTTTCATAAGTAAAAGCAATCCAAATAGAGTAAGAATGAAATACCCTGTGCTGAGGAGCAGGTAAGTGGACATCAGAGAGAGTAATATGCTGAACAGTCGCTGAAAGAGAAACGTGGGGCTCAGTAACAGCAGCACTGGGGAAGAAACTGCAACAATAAGAAAAGGTCTGTCAGTCACAACATGCAAAACATTTCATCCTTGGTAGCAAGGTAATATTCTTCAAATCTTGACATTTCATGTACAGAAATTCAATCCAGGTCATATATGATCCTCTATTTTCAGAAGTTACTTTAGCCGAAGAAAAACCAATGTTTTGAATGCTTCACATTTATCAAAAGTAATTTTAGTTCTTTATAATTTTAGTTCCCTGTCTTTCTACCTCACAGCTTTTATAATTTCTCATGAACTGATACTAATAGGTCCTTAGGAAGATGCAGAAGTGCTCCTCTAAAAACCAGTGAAACTTGACTGTTTAATGCTCCTCTGAGAGCCCCTTACCATGGCTCTGAGGACTTCTAGCAGCTCGAAGACTGACGTGACAGAGCCACTGCTCCATTGGATTAGAGTCATAGAACGGCTTGGATTGGAAGGGACTTTAAAAATAATGTAGTTCCAACCCTCCATAGGCAGGGACACCTTCCACTAGACCAGGCTGCTCAGAGCCCCATCCAATCTGGCCTTCAATTCTTTGTAATTAGGTTAGGAAACCTGACACATTCTGAGATGCAACTGAAAATACTGGTAATAAAAATACAGAAACCATCAACTTATTAGGTTCTCTACTTGAAAGTTTGAAAACAGGAGCATTTAAAGACCTACAAAGGACCTATCTGTCATGACTCAAACATCTTGCCTTCAATTCTTAATGCATTTCTCTAATGCAGATGTGAGGTCTTAGGAGTTGCACGTCACTCCTTAGTGCAGCCCATGGCTCAACTGCCCAGTCGACCCTTGTTAGCAGAGTCCATGCTGCTCCTAAAGAGACTCCTCTAGCTGGGAAACCTCTGCTGGTCAGGACAGGGACCAACAGTTTGCAGGAGATGAGGATAACTGGGAAGAGAGGATATGGAATACTGCAATTCCAAGTAAAGAGGAATTAAAATAGGAGAAAAGCAGCCAGTGCTTTAAGGAAAGGGAGAAGGAAAAGCATTGCTGTGATTTAATCTTTAAACATGATCTTTTTTTATATGAAAATGGTATGTTTATAAAGAAGTATGCTGACAAATAACATTCATGGGATTCTTCACTGCAGTACAGTACTCTCACATTAGTGAATCATTCAAAGACTGCGTCAACAGTAAGTCATAATTAATAATCACTCTAAGGAACAGAAATAAAACTGTAATATATGAAAAGTGCTCCCTTGCTATTATAATCATAGTATACATTAGTAGTTACAGTAAACATATCAATGAAAGAGAGATGAGGCGGTTTCTAAACCCTGTGGGTCAGCATGTTTTATTTCCTGGTTTTCAGCCTTGGCCACTGCTACAATTATGGAATAAGTGACTTCAAGGATGCTCCAGAAGGCATGACTGAAGGAGGAACTCCAGGTTCCTCACTGCAAGTCAGAACAGCTGGAAGTCAATTCAGCATGGCAAATGGCCTCTGTGATTGACACTCAACATATCAGATGTGCAACACTCTCTGACTACAATCATAGATGAGAAGAGATGAGTGGCTGGTAGGTGATAATTAGCCTTTCCCTTCCATTTCTGATATGACACATCAGATATTAATCAGAAAAAGACCTCCAGCTTCTCCACTGATGAACATTTTAAGACATAATACAACTTTAGAAATACCTGCCAATATAAAGACGGTTCTGAAGAACATGGGTAGCAGCTGGATAACTTTATACCTTATGGTTTTACCTCTGTGCTAGTGGTTAACACATACTATATGAATCATAAGGTGTAACAGCTAAAGCCAATTGGACACGAGTCTGCAGGAATCCACTCATCATGAATTCATTTGCCTGATTCTCCAAATACCTGTCTTTCTTAAAAAGAAATAGAATTTAGATCTAAGTTAAAATTTAAACAAAATAGGCTTCATATTAAACAGAACAAATAGCTGGGAAGGGGGCAAAGAGTCTTATCATACTGATGTGATAATAATATCAGTATTATTATGAATAAATACTGATAACTATGTTTCTGGTTCTATAAATACACAGAGAGATGCAAAATGAGAGTTCAGTAAGTAACAGTGCTATTCTTCCACAAGTAAGTAAAAAGATGAAGAGGAGTTTGACCACCTGTAATATCACCAACCTTGGAAAAGCTACAGTTGCCTTTGGTACCTTAATTCTTGGTACCTTAATTTGTGGTACCCATTAGGAACAAGGCAGGTGCTAGTTGTGGTTATGGTAATGTCAAAGCACTTCTCTCCAAGAAGAGTATTGAGGACATGTTGGATGCCTTAGTGTTTTACCTGCTTATTTCCATGTTTAATTATGGAAAGCAATTTCAGCAAGTACACAAGGCTTCAATACTTCCATTAACTGCACCTAGAGAGGTGCTGTAATTACCCAGACAATGTAATATCATATTCACTTAGAAAGATTACTTCCAGCCTGAAAGACTTTGCTAAAATATTCAATACTACTGGGGCAGCAAGTAGACTTTTTGGTACCTACAGTTTACTTCACTGTTAAGCTTTATTTTTATCATCACCCATAGCAAAGAGAATTTCTAATATACTTTTTTCTCATAACTCCAAACCTCTCTGACTGACTGAATCATCTCTTAGATGAAAAATGTTTTTCTTTCATCCTTACACAGGAGAGAAATATAACCTTTATGCTCAATTCCTGCTCCAGTAAGCCAAGCAGGACTTCATTGATTTCATTGACTTTACAACTGCAAGAAATTCATCCACACAGAGATGCCCATTTAGCTTAGCAGGCTACAAAGGGTTAGGAAAGCATGATGGAAAGAAAATGCTCCAAAGAAAACTACTCTACTAAGGAAGCATTGTCTATACACACTCTGATCACAATCACTGGAATTAATCTTGAATCCATTTCCTCAAACAGAAGCAGGACTGCTAAAATTGACAAGATCTGTTTAAGTTAAAACAATGCCACCAGTACAGGAACATACAAGACATCCAGCAACTAGATAACATGGGTCATAATTCTTTAATTAAGTTATGTTTAAATTCCTGAGCTTGACTTCTAGCAAAGAGCTGCTATCAACCTTTGCATGGGATATGTTTAGCTCTAAAACAAATCCCACATTTCAGATCGCTCAGGAATAAACTACGCTTAGCATTTTCTACTGGAGCCCTACAGAAATTATTTTATAGCTGAAATATGAAAGGTATTGCTTTACTGTATTCCATAAACCCAGTGACAATTACATTTGCTCTGTTTAATCATTGTAAGATTTTCATTGGTGAAGATTTCCACTGGTGAAAATTCCATGGACTTTTAAGTTGCTTTTTTCTTTAATAACTAGGCTCTAACAGATATCAGTCATACACTAGCATCATTATTTCACCAGTAGTTTTCAAGGCAGCTCTCAAAACCACTTCGACACCCCAAGGGTCTCCGCCATCAGCTGCAACTTCAAGTTTGCCTTGAAATACAACAACAATCTTTCCTTATTTCCTTATGCTTAATTGGATTGCTTGCAGAACATCTCAGATCACCCTTATCTGGTTTCAAGTGAAACAAGAAGGGAATTTATACCACTGCATCCCTAAAAGGGGTTTTCAAGATATTCTGACTACTCAAAAGATAAGGCTACTTGTAAATCAAAGGTATTTGCATTTTATCACAAACCTACAAAGGAATAATATTTTAGAAGACTAACACATTCCTCAAAAAAACCTCACTTAGGAAAGCAAACACATAGAGGAACTATCAGGAGTCAAATAAAGGAAAGTAAGATGGTAAAAAAAAAAGTGACATTATCCCCCATCCAACCCCACGCTCTGCAAACTGTCAGAAGTTTGAGAGGGAAGATTTTCTTACCTAGAGTCATCCAGCTAACAATTTGATTCAATACAGGCAATCCCAGTTTGTTCTTAAGACTGTCATGGGTACTGCTCACAACGTATGTCGAAAGACCAATACTCAACATCTAGAAAGAAGAAATGAAACTCAAAAATTAATGTATGGATCTCTTCCATCCCATACTAAATATGCAAATATGCTTTAGAGTTGCATAAATACCTCTTCTGAATCACCATAAGAACAGGAAGTCTGATATTTAGTGTTAAGAATTTCTAACTCTTTATAATTTACAATTACTAGCTTTTTAAAACTTCCTTCTATTTTTTATTAGTATGCTTATTATTATTTATTTTTGCTATTTTAAAACAGCATGAACAAGTGCCCTGGATCACTGATTTGACATGATATGCTCTTTGTCAAGAGTAACTACTTAAACACTCATGCAAACCACAGAAAACATACACCCCCAGCTTTTAAAGGTGCACTTGCCCTTAAACAACCACCACCAAGAACAAGCAGAACCTCTGGCTTTGCTGCAGGATCAGGTACAGGGCAAAGGGGAAGGGTAGTTAAGCCAAGAGCTTTGCATGGGCAAACCACCTCCTGTAAGAAGAGAAGCAGCAGTGGAACAGATTGGAGGTGGCTTTTAAGGGATGGAAAGAAGCTTTTTTCCCCCCTTTAATTAAATGGTCTGAGCCAAGCAGAGCCCTCTGCCTCGGAGAAGCAGGGAAGCTGAAGAGGGTTTTTTCCTTGACTAATTCAAGGGACACCATTCAGTCATCAAGTACATGCAAAAAACCTTAGGAAAATTGCCTCATGAGTCAGTTATTTTTGAAAGGTGACAATTATGCAAGAAAATGTTTGAGCCAAGTTTTCAATTACAGCTATTTATTCACAACTCTACAGTTCCACTAAAAGGCAAATCAAGCATGCACAGTACTTTGCAAACATGTGCTTTAAAACTGCATTAAAAGATGTAATTGCTGTTGTGGCTTTTTTAGTGTGCAGCAACTACCCAGTGTTCACATCCATCACTTTTTGCCATACGAATAGTTGCTATTTTCCTGCTAGACACAGTGATACCTAGGCATCAGCTCAGAGGATACACTTAGAAGTCAGCATTCATTTTTGGCCAGTCTCACAGGTGCTCAATATCTGCTGCTTCTATTTAATTTGAGGCCACAAGAACACGTACCTTGTATTTCTCTGTGACATCAATAACCAAGGTCAAAACAGTAGGCATTCAAAAGCACAGGGAATTGGACCCTTTAGACCTCTGATGTTTATTTTGGATACTTTTGCTGCATTCAGGCCTTTGATACATATTTTCAAGTTCTTTTAGTGTCACGAGCTCTGGTAATCCCTCTGCTATCCCCCTAGACACTGGTGCAGTCACTTTGCACTCACTTTGTGTCATGTCCCATAACATATCTCACACCTTGGAAGACTTGTGATGACCTGGGCACGTTAGTAAACACAATGTACTGCTGCAAGATCTATGCCAGTGTCCACGGAAGGGCTCAGCAGCAGCTTTTAAGAATCCCGTGTCCACAGTTTAAATCATGTTCAAACTGCTCTCAGCTTTTACCATCACCTCCAGGGCTGCTGAACCAAGAAGAAGCAACTTGGAGATGGAAACAGCTAAGAAACTGTCTTCCTTCATCCTTCACAACCTTCTCTGAAGCTCCGAACAGCTTAAGAGCAGGTCTCTGAGACACACTCATCCATAGGTCACAAACCAAGGGTGACACCTGCAGTCCCAATACCGCCAGCAGCTCTGTTTGGGAGTTTTCCTAGGCATCTGTCATGGAAATGACCCGAAGGCATAACAGTAGAAGAACCAGCATCATCAGCTGGGCACAAGGCTGGTTGAAAACACCCTTCCTTCCCCTGGTTCCAACAATATAACATGGATTCCTACTGTTTACTTCTCCTCCTATTCAGAAGATGTGTATATGTTGTACTGAGGGACATGGTTTAGTGGTGATCTTTGCAGTGTTAGCTTAATGGCTGGACTCGGTCTTACAGGTTTCTTCCAAGCAAAATGATTCTACAATTCTAACTTAGAGGAGAAAACTAATAAACTGATCACCTCGCACACACATGAAGTTCAAGGCTCCTAGGAATAATAACTTGGTCCAACGTTACCAAGCAATGGAAACATCAGTTTTCAGTAGTGCAGTAAAAACTGGACATCACCTATGAAACTGCTGTCAGAGAGAAATTGGTGCTCTCTCCAACGAAAAAATTAAGTTGTACAGTAAGCACTGCAGCAGTCAAAAGGATTATGAATGACTCCTGTTTTCATCACTCCTGAAGCCCTAGCGACCTCTCAGAGATCATGGAATCAAAGAATTGCTTAGGTTTGCTTAGGTTTAAACCAGTGAGCCAACTAACAGCACTGTCAAGTTCACTACTAAACCATGTCCCTAAGTGCCACATCTAAATGTCCTTTAAATACCTCCAGGATGGTGTCGCCTCCTCTTCTCCAGGCAGCCTGTTCCAATGCCTGACAAGCCTTTCTGTGAACAATTTTTTTCTAATATTAAATCTAAACCTCCTATGGTGTGACTTGAGGCCGTTTCCTCTTGTCCTATCACTTGTTACTTGGGAGAAGAGACCAACACACACTTCACTAGAGAGAATTCACCAAAAGGCAATTCCTTGCCATAGGAAACAAAATTCAGTAAAAAAATGTTATTCCCTCTTTAATGATCTCAAAAGAAAACCTGACAAACTCCTGGCAGTTTTCAAAAACTGTGAGGGTGTAAATAGTACCTTCTGTCTCAAGCATGACATGCATCAAAACTTCAAAATTAGGTCTAAAAATAACTGAAGTTTTTGTAACAGAAATGCAAATGTAACCCTATGAAGTTACTCAAGCTTGCATTTTTACTTTAAAAATGTCTTCATTTACACACTTTTACTGAAAAATCTTTTTGATCATGCTGTTCTGTTGTCTAAGACTTTTTTGTTACTTTAGGGCTAATACACATGTTGAAAATGTACAATGTGTATGCACAAAAACCAGTGAATAAATGAGCAGCTTGTAAGTGGCCACTTAGACTCTGTCTCATCCATGGAGAACCAACACAAAAATAACACCGTCCAGGACCAGATTGGAGGGAATTATCTTTTCTGTGAAGGACTGCCTGCAAACTGGCAGGTTTTTCGCCTACTCTGATGGTATCTGCCAGCTCAGGTTTCTTTTTGACCAAAAGGAGAGCAATTACTGTAATGGAACAAGCTTTGTTCCTTACAAGGCATGATATTTTCACTACAGGCTAATTTCCAGATGAAAAAGGAAGCTCACTTGGACAAAAAAGAATAAAGTTGTCTACAGAAGAGAAAAAAAATTCATCATAAGCACAACAAAAAGCCTAGGCTATGCTGAATCCCTTTCTTTCTGTGAGTGAAATAGGAAGAGAACTGAAAAGGGAAGTGTCTTTATTCAGATGGAATTCCAAAATAATTTGTGAAGAACAACACAGGCAAATAAGAACCACTTAATCCTTTAGGAAATATTATCTTATTTCTTGTAAGAAAATGCATCTCATCCCAAATCAGTAGATGCAAAAAAACTGAGGTGAGGTGAAATGAGAGATTTAAAAAAGGGTTCTTGCATGCAGACACCACCAAAACAAAGGGGAAAATTATAAAAAAAAAAAAAAAAAAAAAAAAAAAAAAAAAAAAAAAAAAAAAAAAAAAAAAAAAAAAAAAAAAAAAAAAAAAAAAAAAAAAAAAAAAAAAAAAAAAAAAAAAAAAAAAAAAAAAAAAAAAAAAAAA